CCCGACCGCACCCCGCCCCGGCTCCCGTCCCCCGTCACCATCGCGCGGCGTCCCGGGGTCCCGGGGTCCTTCCCACGCAGCCCGCGGCCGGCACAGGTCCCGCAAGGAGGACTAGGGAGCCGAGAGTCTCTCCCCAAAGAACTCAGGGCGGGGAGCCATGACACCGGAAGTGCCCGCCCACCCCTCCTCACCCGATTGGACAGTTCGTGCAGCCCGCCTCTGCGTCGCTGATTGGCTCCTGCTCCATCGCCCTCCCTCTGACCGAGTAAAGGGAGAAACTCACCTGCCTCGGTAGGGGTCAAATGATACGTTGTCACCCAGGAACTTCTGGATCAGGCTATTTCCTACGATGTCAGCGTCACCTCGCCTAACAATAATTGCATTTAAGCAGTTTACTCAGGGTTTTCCAGAGCTGCCCCTGCTTTCCTAGTGATTTTAGCGTGCTTTTCCTGAAATTGGGTCTCCTGTGTGCTCAGAATTTTCCTTGGTCAGTGTCCTAAGGAAGACTCAGTCCCGGTGTAAGAGAACATCGTGAGTGCAGGACGGGACAGGATCAAATGGAATAGAGTGGGTTCTGGCTGTTTCACAGGTCAATATTTGGGAATGAGGCAGTAGGCTTCTCTGTCAAGATTTTCCCACGGTCTCAATCTACTCATTTTCATTGAAGAAAATGAATATGTGCCCCCCCGCAAAGGAACATAGTTATTGTGTGGATGGATAAATGAGAGTTAAATGATAGCAGTATTCTGCAAACAGTCATGGTGAAAGAAAAGCAAACATTCCACTTCCATATGACAAGCTTCATACCTCATCCACGGTCCAAACATTGCCAGAATGTTCAACATAAACCTATTGCCAGGCATGAGCTGAAATGGACCCCACTCTTGGTCCACTTGGACACTTTCCGGTAATGATGCAGGGCATGCAAAGATACAGTCTGAAGTTTTTATATGTCCCTGCCTCATTACCGCATTTCATAGCTAGTATTTCTAGAAGAAAAATATTATGTGGAAGCATGTGATACTCATGTTATAAGTGGGTTGGCCTGCATGATGTATGGGATACTTGTAAAGCACACTCGTGGGTATCTGGGTGAGTCATGCTAACATCAACTGATGAAACAAATCTGGCCCCTGCACCTTTTGAGGCTCTATCCCTGTTCTCTGGCACCTGGCTCTTATAAAATAGTTACACTTTTCTTCACTCATATTGACCCTGAGGTTTCTTCATTGGAAGAAATCACACCCAGACTGCAACCTTTGAGACAATGAGAAATTTTTTGGTTTTGATTTTGTGGCACTGGAGATCAAAGGCCAGGCCTGGCCTATGCTAGGCAAGTCCTGTACCATTGAGCCAGCCCCCAAACCCCAAATCCACAGCTGTTTTGTTTTTTGTTGAGGTTTGCCCGTGTTCTGGCTTAGGTTTTGTGTGTGTATTTTTAAAGAGAGAGTCTCATTATATAGTCCAGGCTAACCTCAAACTCACTCTCCTCCTGCTGCAACCTGTTGGAAATAAGTTCCCAGACTCAGTTTTTTTTTTTTTTTTTTG